TTATGGTACCCTTCTTCCGCCGGGCTCAGCGAGCTCCTGGCCGGTAAACAAACAGTTCTACTCCCTGCAGGGGCCAGTAAACTGGGTTCCAAAACCCCTCTGGGGTTTTGCTCTCTGCCAGAGGCTCCTACCAGTGCTTAACGTCGCTTTCAGCATTTCCTGCAGTATGCGCCGGCGTGCTCCACCTCCTCCTCCCGGTTCTGCATTGTTGCCACTTTCCGGTCCCGGACTCTTCTTTATACCGGCGGGGAAAATATCGGCCACTCCCTTCCCAACACACCTGGGTAAGCGGAATTTCTGCCGGGCTCTGTGGGGCTGCGGACCTGGGGCCACTGACCCTCTGCTTAGCCCGGGAGCCTTGGGGCCTGCTGGCTCCTTCTCTCTCTCACACATAACATAGGAGAGTTGCTGGCATGGCTGTTCCAGCACTTATGGTCTTCTGGTCAGGTCCCAGAGGACTGGAAAAGGGCCAGTGTGGTCCCTATTTTCAAGAAGGGAAGGAGGGAGGGACTGGGAAACTATAGGCCAGTTAGTCTCACCTCTATCCTTGGGAAAACTCTGGAAAAAATCATTAAGGATCACATTTGTGGGAGCCCAGCAGGACAAACAATGCTGAAAAGAAATCAGTCCAGATTCATTGCAAGTAGATCCTGCTTGACTAACTTTGTTTCTTTTTATGACCAGGTCACAAAATACTTAGACACAGCAGTCGAGGTGGATATCATCTACCTAGACTTTAAGAAGGCCTTCAATACGGTATCTCGTTCTGTTCTCCTAAATAAACTGACAGGCTGTGTTGCAGATGATTACACGGTTAGGTGGGCAGCAAATTGGCTTAGGGGTCACACCCAGAGAGTGGTGGTGGATGGGTCGATATCAACCTGGAAAGTTGTGGGCAGCGGAGTCCTGCAAGGCTCGGTCCTTGTACCGGTGCTATTCACTGTCTTCATCAGTGACTTGGACAAAGGCGTGGAGAGCACCCTGTCCAAATTCGCAGATAATACCAAATTATGGGGCAAAGTTAACACACTAGAGGGTAGGGAACAGATCCAGGTGGATCTGGACAGGATGGGAAAATGGGAAGAACAAAACAGGATGCAGTTCAACAAAGACAAGTGCAAAAGTGGTGCACCTGGGCAAAAAGAACCACCAACACACTTACAGACTGGGGGACGACCTTCTCAGTAGCACAGCAGCGGAAAGGGATCTTGGAGTCATAGTTGACTCCAAAATAAACATGAGTCGTCAGTGTGATGAAGTGATCAACAAGACTAACTGCACTTTATCATGCATCAGCAGATGCATGATGAACAGATCCAGGGAGGTGATGCTTCCCTTGTATGCAGCACTTACACACACACGCACGCACAATATTCTCTTAGTGTAGCAGCTAAGAGCATAATTCTGTTTTGGGGATAAAACAGAAATACACACACACACACAGCATCTGTCTGTCTCACAAGACAACACAATTGTGCCAAGTGAGGCAGCAGCTCATTGCACATTTGCAAGTGTGGTTGTGACTTGAGTCATTTGGCTCAGTGTCCATTGCCTTCGTATCTCTCTTGCAAACATCTGTGAAATGGAGATAAGGATGACCACGTGGTCTTTTTCTGGTAAAGAGTTCTTCATCCAAGAGTTCTCTGAGTATACAGCCGTCATCCATTCTCCGCAGATGACCAAGCCATTGAAGTCAATGTTGACTGAGAAGAGAATGGATGCTCAGAATGCCAACACAGTCCAAGACCTCAGCATAAGCAACTCTGCCCCACTAGAAAACTCCTAGAATGCTGTGAAGGCAATGTTAAATGAATGCTATTGAGGCAGCTTTCTTGAGTAGAATATGTGGTCCAGGCTTTGCTGCCATACAAAAGGTTGTTAATGATGCAAGCACAATATACTTTGAGACCTTGGTCTTATCAGTTTTCTGTTGTTTCACATTCATTTGCTCAGCTTGTGTATGATATCTGATGCCTTGCCAATACAAGTATTCAGTTCAACCTTAAGTGACAAGTTGTTGGTAACAATGGAACCAAGGTACTTAAATATACTCAATACATTTTCCCTCTCTCTCATACCCACCCATCCACACACACAGTCTATATTCTCTTAGTGTAGCAGCCAAGAGGATAATTCCATTTTGGAGCTTAAATGCTGGGTTTTGGGGTAGAGAATTTTATCTCTTACTTTACATCCCAGAAATCAAATTAAAAATTAGGTCCATCTTCCCAAGCGAGAAAGCTTTTAGATCAACAAGGTATATGAACAAGGATTTCCAAGCAACATGTGCTCACTTTTACCATTTGCATTAGTGCTTGTACTTCAAAATCCTGGTTCGCTTCACCTGTTTCCAGACCTTCATTCCCTCAGAATAATCAGTTGGTCTCCCATTGCGTTCCACTCCCTCCTGCCTTGATTTACAATGGGTAAAAAGAGCTATGCTTTTTTTCTGGCTGTTTACAAGAAACTAATCATACTGTTAAGCTATATTGAAGAAAAAATACTTCTCTCACAGTACTACTATGGACAATAAAGAGTTCAAATTACCCAAATGGAACCATGGAAGTGGATTGAAGAGGCTGTGGATGACACTATGAAACCAAAATTGCAATTTAGTATCCAAGTTACCTTTTGGCTGTTACAGATCCATGTCCCCTTAACCTGCCCTATATTTCTAAATAGCAGAAATAGCTTTGTGTTAAAGAAGTCATTTACTGACAATGCTGTATGATGGCCAGAAACTGGAGGAAAGACAAAATATCTGGTGCCAATGAAAAACAGAACTAATGCTTTATGTAGGATGATGAGTAAAAGGTTTTCAGCAAAACCAAGAAAGTGCCTGGAACACAGCTGGTAAATTTGCGTTACACAGGGGTCAATCAAAAAGGTAAAGGACACCATGTTAACAGATACTTTATTTGTCTGTTGGGATCAAACTTTGGGCAACATTTTGACACAGTCCCCCTGCTTCCCAATGGACATCTGCTAGTGTCTCACACTCAGGCTATTATTCCAGATTAAAAGAAAGATTTGGGCAGCTCCCAAAGTCATGCTTGCACTGCATCTTTACACTTCATAGTTGGACATTTATTTTCTTCCAGGGCTCTCTTTAGAGGACCTAACGGAAGAGCGAAGTCAGAGCTATAAGGAGGATGAACAAGTACCTCAAATCCATGGTTTTTGTTTTCTATAGCTATGCCAGAAATATTTAGGCATGCATTATTATGGAGAAGCAGTATTCTTTTCATCAGTGCTCCACAACACCAGCTTTGAACAGCTGGCTTCAAACTGACTCAGTAACATTCTTTGTTTACAGTGGACTTCTGTGCTTAAGTCTGTCATGTGGACACCATTCATTTCCCAGAAAGCCATTAAAAGAATTTCACTGCCATTCACTCCCTCTGTGCCCATCCCCTCCTCCACCCTGCAAAAAACTAAACCAAACCCCACATCATAAAATGCAACTTTTCCTAGGCGCACTCAAAACGTGTAGCCAACATTTCTTTTAACTGTGCAGAGGGCATGTGAAATGGCAGAAAATGAAGAGTTGTGGTCTTTCTGATGCCAGTGTCCAAACAGAAAACATTAGACATTGATTATGCTTCTAGCCATACTTCTTACATTACAGTCACAGATATCTTATTATTTTTGACCATGCTTCATAAGCTATAAAATAGATGCAAGGAATTTTGTTCTGGTTATTAAGGGATTCATTTTTCCTTCAAAAACACTCTAAAAACACAACCTTAACCCTGCCATTTTAAAATGCATTAAAAAAAGATGAGTTAAAAGAATATGAGTTATGCTAAAAAAAGCTAACTTTTTTACATGTTAAACTGGGCATTCCTAATCTTATTGAAACTCCTCAAAAAAGTTCGTACTGGCTTTCCCAAATGTCCCCTAAAATAAATTTACAGTGTTAGTAAAGTCCTGTGCGAAGAGATCGTTCGCATATGAATCACTCCCTGCTTTCAGATTTTCTTGCAGTTATCCTTCAGCCCTGGCTTTCCCTCATTTTACTCCATTTCTAGCCTTTTAGCTTTGTAACTAAATAATCACAGTCATTCCTTGTCGAACTGTCAAATGAATCTAGCATCCTTTCTGTAGACAGAGTGCTTCATATTGAGATAATGCTGAATCTGCCCCTCTGGATTCAAATCTACAGTCTTATAGAGGCTTATTAATGCCCTTTACAGATTACATGACACAGGACTTTACCATCAAACTTGCCAGTGAATCTCACTTACTTTAACATAATAACCCTTATAAAACAAAATGGAGAAGTGCAGCGCAAATTATACTGCTGGAGGCCCAAATATCAGAAAAGATATTTCGAAAAAGAAATAAATGAGTAGCTGCTAGAAGCAGCTCTCTGACTCTTAGATTTGCCTTTAAATTAAGTCTTAAAAGTAGAAGCTCTGCAATACATTGTATGTGTTATTTTCTGAATCAATAATTGGGACAACAAATCCAAACAGTGCAAAAAACCCAGCACATCTTCGAATGCCTTCTCTCACTAATCATATCTGGATTCTAATCATACTAAACTGCAGCACTCAGTCCGTGTAAAAATTCTGCTTCACGTTCGTCAAGCCCTTGAAATTTTCCCCTTATGGCTCTCCATCGCTCCAATTTAATTTGCTGGAATTTACAAGTTCAAAGACATTTTTTTTTTTTTTTTTTTACTAATAACCCCAATCCCAAAACTGAATACATTTTTGGCTCCCAAACAATGTTACTTCTTTAGTTTTCCAACCTGTTTTGAAAAACCACTTCTTAGTGAGTTAACCCTTCTCTCTTCAGAGGAAGGCACCATTCCTATAAGGGTGCAATCATGATTTACCACCCAGTTGTTAACGTAGGTATAAATTAAACTAAAACATTTAAATAAATCGATAGTTTGATCCTGCAGTAGACAGAACACCCAGGCAGAGCAATGGAAGTTTTAAATGTATCAGAACATTTATGCTGATTATAAGATTGTGTTTAACATCACTTACAGGTTGAAGCAGGCAGATGAGGGAGCAGTCTTGGAGAACTATAACTGGAAAAGGAGTGATATTTGTTGCATGAAAAAGCGTCTCCACTGATGCCATGATTTGGTCAAAGCGTCCTCCAAGTCCACCCAAAACCACAATGATATCAACCTAAAAAACAAAATTAAAAAAACAAACTTCAGTTTAAAAAGGAACAGCCTTAAAGCCAGTTCTCTGTATAACAAAAAAAAAGCAGAAGATAAGCCCTTTCCCTGGGTTAAAAACAAAAAAAAGTAGAATGGGTCTGGATCCTCAGGTGTTTAGTCACCTAAATGGCTGGAAAAATTCTTCTTAGCAAGCTTGTCTGCCTATGGCTTTGGACCAATGCGGCTACAACCTATACCCCATGTCACCTAAATCACATTTAGGATCTGGGCTATAATGCTTTATTTTGGGGGGCTTACACTCTTAACACTGTTCAGAGCAGGTGTGTTATTGCAGGATTTGTCAGCCTGTTTGCTTGAGACAGGTTTTATGGGCTAAAGTTATCACTATGCAAGTTATCTTAACTCCACTGACTTAGATGAATTCATCTGTCTGTACTGGTGTATTCAATGACATCAACATTCAAATTTTCTGAGGGGCCCTCTATCTCATCTTAGCGGCTTGCATTGCAAGTGCCAGAGCAAAAGGAACTTTTGAAGCCAGTTACTCTCTACTCCCATCCCAAAATACAACTATAGATATGAACATATCATTCTAGGACCATCAAAAAACATGATTTACGTCTGAGAAAAACTGTATTTGCAAGATTCACAGACTTCTAAACCTCTGTAAATGCATGGTCAGTGTTTTTGTTTAATAATAAGAGTTCATCATCCATTCACATAGTGTTTTTCATCCAGAGAATTCAAAGTACTTTAGAAAATGCATGTATTATCCGCATTGTATCGAAAAAGTGCAAGAATGTCACCTAAATGAGCTGTACTTCATTCCATAGTAAGCAAGTGGCAGAGACAGGGAACTATATAGGTCACCTGTACAGGTCTCTCGCCTACAGGAAAACATTGCTCATAGCTTTCAGTCAGGACACTTGGGTTGTATTTTCAACTCTCTCACTAAACTTGCTGCATGATGGTAAGCAAGCCAACAACTTCTGGTTCTTTAGTTAATCTACAAATTTACCAGGAACACTTACAAGTCTTTGCAAAGAGCCTTCAGACCCTATGAAAGGTGTCATTGATGCGTAAAGTATGATTATTATTATTACCCAAATATAGGTCAGTTAGACTCAGTAATTATTTTTTAAAAAGCTATTACCACGTAAGTCACGACTAGAGCTTTGCCACAATGCAGCTCTAAAGCTTTTACAGTCTGCTTTGACAATGGCCATCTGGTGAAGTTTCCAGCTTTATAGAGCTTTAGTCTACAGCCATGGTGAATACATGAAGTTTTACTCAACCCATGAGTCACATAATGATACTCTGTGTATCTGGAATGATGCATTAATAACATCAGCTTCTACTTTTATTACCAGGGCCAGGACTTTGCGATTCTGTTGCATATTTGCTTGCATGCAAATTAAGCCCTTTTCCAGCTAGTCAAGAATAACACTATCATTTCTACTACCACCAGAAAAAAGTAGAGAGAAACTGCATCAGACAAAACTGAAACATTTAGGTTAGCTGAAAGGAAAATCTTTCAGACACCTGAAATGAAGAAGTGAACAGTTTTTCCATGCTGATAAAATCATACACATCTAAGATATAACCAGTAGGTTTTCCTCTAATTTTCTTGCTTTTCTAATTTGCCTTTTATTTAATAAGTTAAAAAGAGTAGGTCGCTGGCTGAATCAACAGAGTTTACTCTTACTTTATTTAAAGATTGAACAAGCTCCTCCAAATCACTGTCAATATGAAAGCCCCACAACCACTACAGACAGTACATGAATGTACTGCTATGTCCGCACAGAGCCCCAAAAACATCAAGGAGGCTCTGCCAGGACCCGGCAGTCTACATCAATAATACTTTCCATTGGTTATAGGGCTGGAGCCTTAATTAGCCCCAAAGATCCAATTTTCAGAGAACTGAGCAACTCCTCTAACATATTATGATCTGGGGTTTCACACCATATGTGAGCTCTGAAGGATCCCTTGGCTTCTTTTGGCTTTGATGTTTTTTGATATTCTAATTACATTGAAGGGACATGTACTTCACTCCAACTTGTTGGGCTGAAATGTGGCACTTGGAATATTCCACTTGACAATATCTAATGCACAATACTTTGGGTTGGGTATTTGACTATTTTTCCTTACTACATTTTCTCTTTACTGTTTGGGGCCAAATTCTTCTCCCTGATATGAATACAAAATTTAATTCTCACCAAAAGCACAAGGCCTATTGGAACCAGCAAAGTCCCCACTGAAGGTCTCATTTTGTGACACTGGTATCATTTTACTGGTTGAGAAAAACATTTTATTAAAAAAAAAAGAGCTCCCCACTAATCCACATAAATGGTCCAAGATACTATTCTGATTCTAGTATTGACTGCAGTGTTTTGAGAGATTGCTACACACTACTATAGTATATATACAGTTTTTAAAACCTCTTTAGTTCTCCTGCAGTGTGGTAAAGATCACAGGGATAGCCTGCTGAGGAGGAAGTTATAAAACAGCAGGTGTTGGTGAGAAGGCTTGCCTTCTTTTTAAACTGCTTGTGTATCCTCTATTCAGGAACTATATGGATGTATGAAAGTGTGTAACAGAACAATGATGGTTAGCAACTGAAGGCAACATCCTCATCACAAGATCAGTTGTTGTTTTCATTATAGGCACCCCTACCTTTCACAAAAGTGCTTTGACAGCACTGACACAGAGATGTAGAATTTATAAAGATTGCATCTGAAGCCTAGGTGTTGATACAAACATTTAAATACACAGACTCAACGAAAGCCTCAATGGCCATCACATTCTGAAACCACCATAACCTGTATCACAAAGTAAAAAGCATGAATCTGCCAAACAATTAATTCCTCGCTTGATTTTACTGTCTTTTTCAGCCACCAAACATGAATATACCTTGTTGTGCCCTGAAACCCAGCTACCCAGTCACAAAAATCCAGTCTTATTTCAGACAAGAAGATACAAAGACTTAGTCTGCAAGTTCAGGACCCTTATACATGCACATATTTTTAAACCAGAAGGAACTGTAAACTCATCTGGTCTGAGCACTTGTAATAACAGAGGCCACAGATTTTCATCTGATTTCCTCAATAATCATCCAAACAATTCACCACACATTTTGTTAAAGCAAATCTTCTAGGAAAGCACTGCCTTCCCTTTCTCTTAAATGCCCTGTCACCAGCCCCTTGGCTATTATTTGTTTTCATATACTGCCATTCATTCAGGGAAACTAAAACAAAAAATATCTTTCAAAGCTTAAATCTCTGGAAATTACAGACATTTAGTAACTGTATGTGGACATGATGGATCATAATGCTTATGTGCGCATATCACACTATCTCTGACCTATTCACTGTGCAGCATTTTTAAGAGGTATGATGCATTCATGGTGAGAGTGCTAGGGTCTAAATACTGATTTAGCCATTTTTAAACAATGGGCTCTGAAATAATTTTCAGAGTAACTAGCATACTGCAAAACAATAATATAAGAGAATAAATAACAGAATATTCTGCACAGACTGTTCATAGATATTTGGATTTCTTCCCCCATCCTTTGAAATACTCCATTTAGAACTTGTAGTAACCATATAGACCATCGGCTGCTAGGGCATCATAACAGTCACTTAGTTTTCACTGCTTTTCTTGTTTGAGAATATTGAAATGGGTAATTTATTTTCAATTGAGTATAGGCTTGTTAATTGAAATATTCCCCTCTACAGTTTGGTCCAGATCACATTCCTCTTTTTTGCATGGAGAGATTCATTACCCACAAGTTGTTGACCATGTAATTGAGAAAGATGTGCCTAAGAAGCAAGTAGATGGGTGGAAAAGCTCAAGTGCTTTATGAAGCAGGGTGAAACTCATCTAGTTTCCATAGATTCATAGATGTTAGGGTCAGAAGGGACCTCAGTAGGGCATCGAATCCAACCCCCTGCCATGGGCAGGAAAGAGGGCTGGGGTCAGACAACCCCAGCTAGGTGCTTGTCCAGTCTCCTCTTGAAGACCCCCAGGGTAGGGGAGAGCACCACTTCCCTTGGAAGCTCGTTCCAGAGGTTATTTTAACATTCCTATAGAGTGTCCACCACAGTGGTACCTGCCTGCCAAAATCTCCAAAATTTAACGTTCTCACAGCCCTGTATACAAATGACACTTGCTCTTCATCCTCTATTCAATGATCCTGCCTTGAGCAGGGGCTTGGAGTAGATGACCTCCTGAAGTCCCTTCTACTTGCCTATGAACACCTTCACAGTCATTCCCAAGCTGAATGTTTTGCAGCATTCTACATGGTCACATCCAAGTTACCAGATATCACCTCATAGTCATCAGACTGGATAGAAAAATTTTAACATTCAGGCCACTGAATATTTCTATTTGAGAAAAAAACTTAGTGTCTTGATCACCAGATGGAAGAAGGCCTCTCTCATTGCATTACTCTTCCCATATCTAGGAGCAACCTCAAAACTCTACCTAATGCCTGCTGAGGGAAAGCATTCCTTCTGGGTGCAATTAATGCTTCACCCCTCTAGTGGTTTACTTTTGCTTATCTAGGTTCAGGTTAAGCCAATTACGTTTCCAACATATGTAATTCTTGTACACAAATTCTTCAACTTGAGGAAGAACATGTCTACTGACAATACATATGGTTCAGTGACATCTATTAACTGGTAGCACTGGCAACTCTGCCACATTATGATCTCTCTTGGGGAAAAAAGGTAGGAGACAGCACTGAAGACTGAGCCTCAAGCTGCTTCACATGTGGGTTTTTAGAAGAAAAACCAGTCCTTGTTCCTACTAAGCGAAATTTCCCTGACAAGACTAGGCAAAGTCAGTTTAGTGCTAAGTCTACACTTCTGCTCTCACTTACAGCCAGATCACTTACAGCCAGATCAGCAGCACCTTCTGATCAATAATGTCCAAAGCTGCCAAATGACTGGTTGTACTTTGCCCTTCTACTGTGGCCCGGGAGATTACCCCTTGGTGAGGCCCAAA